TCCTCGAACTTATACAGTTCCCATTAAAAATGGAACAGCGATTCTTACAATATTTCGTATTACTCCTTTCGTTGACGACATTAGCGAGAGGGATAAAGTTTGACCTCCCTGCTTTTCCGCCGGACTCGGTGAAATCAAAATGCCTCTCTGAGTATGTAAACGCTGGTACATTAGTGGTAGTAGCCATTAAAGTTGGTGGAGGATACAATCAAAAAGTTGATGTTGAGGTGAGTCTATCTCACAGAGATATTTTTAGATTATACTTCAGAACTAATGCCATCGATGTTTTGTAGGTGGTTGATAATAGTGAGGCTCGTAATAAGTATGGACATAAACGAGATGTAAATGAGGATACTCGCTTAACATTTACTACACACGCCGACGCTGATATATCCATTTGCTTTACCAACACCTTGGATGATCGTAAGTTTCATAATTACTATTTCTTTTTTATGAGAGGAATGAGTCATAATTGAGAACATTCATTATTTGAAATGTAATCCAGAATTCCCTCCCAACCCGCAATATCATCGCACAATTGAATTGGATGTGGATATAGGTGCAGAAGCTATAGATTACAATCAATTAATCAAAGCTGAAGCACTGAAGCCCATGGAGGCTGAACTTCGGAAATTAGAGGAAGTGGTTCAAGAGATTGTTGATGAAATGGATTACCTACGGAGGCGGGAAGCTAGAATGAGAGACACTAATGGTAAGATTTTGCGTTTGGCATCCTTCAATATTCTGTTCCTAACCTCTTATTTTTTAAAGAATCGACAAATGAACGTGTAAAGTGGTTCAGCCTTGGATCTATGTTTGTACTTATTTCCTTGGGTGTTTGGCAAATTTTCTACCTCAAGAAATTCTTCCAACGGAAAAGATTAATAGATTAAATTAATAAATGTCACTCATTTTACAAATTTCAAAACCTGATAGCAAATTTAGCTTAGGATTTCTGCAATGCATAATGAGAACGTAATAATTTTTTTTACTTTTTTTCGTCTTGAATGATAGATAATGGTATATATGGTTTTTCATATATAATAAAATTAAAATATACGTATAATTTGTAAATTTTTTTTTTAAAAACGAATAGATTCAATAGTTCTATTATTCTATTAAGAAAAGATTGATTATAAAATGCTTTTCAGTCTTCTTATTTGAAAATTATACCATACAATGTTGATTGCTTAGTAACCTATCAAATTAGTTTGCTTTAGTAATGTTTAATTGTTTACAATTATAAGACCCTTTTTTTCAATGTACTTATTTGCACACCAAGCAACCAAGAAATTTAGTATCTCGTCAAACACTTTAAGTTGTTGGTTCAAGCAAGGAAAGATTTCTGCTAAGACATCTCCATTTGGAATTTGCCTTTACAATATTTCTTCTTTGTTTTCTGAGATAACTTTTCAAAATGCTGTTAAAGCTACCATTACCACTGCTACTACTGCCAATACCATTACCAAAAAAGGTTTCCTATATGCTTGTGTCTCTAGTACTAAGCAAAAAGAAAATCTTGAATAACAAAACCAGGTTCTTCTCTTTTGATTTCCAACTTATAAACTTTTTAATGATATTGGTTTAAATACTAACTTCAAATTATCAAGACTCAAGGCCTTATTAAAATAAGCAAGTTACAGAATAGTCTTGAAATTTATAATTATCTACTGTGATCAATATTAATTAGTTATCTTTAATTTTATCCAATATATAATTTTATTTTATATTATAAAACTTATAGTTTTTTTTAACAATTTAACAATTAATAAACATAAGTTATTTAAAAATATTTTTGTTATAATATTGTTTTTAAAAATTGTAAAATGTAAAAAAAAAAACTATAATATATCAAAAAAATAAAATCTTAATAATAAAAAAATCAAAAATAAATAAATAAAAGTATAAACAAAATATTAAATATGAAATTGTATTTAAATTATACTTGAAACAATTGCTAAAGTAATAAATATAATTATAAAATTAATTTATAATAGAATAATTATTTATCTTAAATTATATATAAGAATAAATATAATTAAATTTATAAGAATAATTAAAAATTTTTTTTTTTAGTTGAACGGCATTAGATGCAAGTCTTTATTGATACTTAAACATATCTATACAATATATCAAACATCTTCTGTAACTGTTACACTACAGCTTAATGCTAGCCTATCAACTATTT